CATTGAGAAGTTGATCAAAAATTGATTGCAATATTTACCCCTAAGAAATATATATACATACATACATATATATGTACGTACACAGCAAGACAAGGAGTTTTAGTTCGGATTGAAGTTCCACTCTACGGGGGTAGGCTTTCGATGCGTTCTCTCTGTATATATAAAAAACAAGTAATTTTTAGCAAAAAAGAAACCGACTTAAAAAAAAACAAGTAAGAGCAGCGCTGTCTTCGGCTATGCCGAAGGCGTCATACCTTTCATGAACATCTGCAAATTTTAGTTTGACAGATTACTGATTTTGAATACATCTGCATACATCGATAGAGGAGTTACATACTTATATAAAAAATCGCTGTCTGTCCGTCTGTTTGTATGCAATCTGGTCTCTCAGTTTTCGAGATATCCGGATCGAATTTGGTAGGTGGGTGTATTTTTATAATATATTAATCATTTGTCGGAACCGGAAGAATCGGACCACTATAACATATAGCTCCCATACAACTGATTGTTCAGATATGAGATTTTTCGTTATAACTTCTCCATTTATGCAGCTACGAACATGAAATTTCGCAGCACTTGCACCCATTATCAACAGAATGCTTACAGTGAAAATTACAAAGATCGGGTCACTATAACCTATAGCTCCCATACAACTGATTGTTCAGATATAAAATTTTTCGTTATAACTCCTCCATTTATATGGCTGGGAACAGGAAATTCCGCACTGTTTTCAATAATTATCAACAGAAAACTTACAGTGAAAATTAAAAAGATCGGATAACTATAACCTATAGCTCCCATACAACTGATTGTGCAGATATGAGATTTTTCGTTATAATTCATCCATTTATGTAGCTAGGACCATGAAATTTCGCGCTGCTTTCACTCATTATCAGCAGAAGACTTACAGTGAAAATAACGAAGATCGGGTCACTATAACCTGCAGCCCCCATACAACTGATTGTTCAGATATGAGGTCTTTTATCATATCTCCTCCATTTATGCAGCTAGGAACATGAAATTTCGCACCATTTTCACTCATTATTAACAGAATACTTACAGTGAAAATAACAAGGATCGGGTGACTACAACATATATCTTCCATACATCTGATTGTTCAGATATGGGATTTTACGGTAAAACTCCTTTATTTGAACAGCTAAAACCGATAAATTTCGTAAGATATTTTATAAATAATAATACAAAGTCTACTGAGAAAATCGTCAAAATCTATGCTGTATAAGCTTTATCTCCTATAGCACTGATTGTTCAGATACCAGTTTTTGCGATATATCTCCTTTATGTAGGAAACTAAACTCAATAAATTGTGTTACCGGTTTACATACCGATCACATAGCAGTGAAAATCACTTAGATTGGTGCCATCTAAAGTATATCCT